CTCCACAATACTATCTGGAGTTACCACTCTATTTTACATCCTTCCTAGTACTTATCAGTATCTCAAATTATCATATTTATATATTTGTCTATTGTCTTGTTTATTGCCTATTTCCTCTATTGACACGCCAAGTATCTTGTCCATATTACCATTCCCATTGTTTTGGAACAGGAGGAAAGCCAAAATTTGAAACTTTCATTTCAAAATTCGAACCTGACTCATTTCAAAATGAGTCACTGCTAATTAAAGCTGTTTGTTTCAAAGTAAAATTAAGAACAATTCAATTAAATGGAGAAATCCATTTAATTTAGAGAATCAGAATCAGTTGAAAGTTATTCTCTCATAAAATTTTTCTGAGAGATTTCTACTGTATCCCACTTTGAATCCATCAGCAGAACAAAATTGAAAGAGCAGAGAAAATGGTTTTCAGTTCATACATACAAAGAAGGATGCCACGGTGTAAAAGCATTAGAAACATCTTTTCCTTCTGAGGACATTTTCGTTCAGTTATATAGCAGTCCTGGGGTGGGGCAGTAGGATAAGGGCAGAACTGCAAGGATGCTTTGAATCACCAGCTGCTCTTTGGAAATCCTATACTGGTCATGATAAGTCAGAACCAACTCAATGGCACTTAACAACAACATACAGCATTGCTGTTCAAGAAATGACTGACATGAAAGACAAACAATATCAGTTGGTCCTTAAAATTCTGACTTATCATACTGCTCATAAGAAGCAAATATTGTCACCTCACATTGTTACATAATATTTATTTAAGGCCATTTATTAACAGTATTGACTCAATATACAGATAGTTTTCAAAATGGCACCCATTTAATATACATTGCTTTTTTTCTCTTACATGAATCATGATTGGGGAAATTTGAACGCTGAATTTAATGATAGTTGTCATGTGCTGTCGAGTCAATTTTGACTCATTGCAATCCTATGAGTAGAACTGCCCAACAGGGTTTCTTAGGAAGAAATCTTGATAAAATTGATGATTTTTTTTATTATTATTATATAACTGATGATGGCATTGTTACCACATTTTAAAATAACTGTTAAATATTGTTTTTGTTGCTTGTTGTTAAGTGCCATCGAGTGAGGATCTTACTCATAGCGACCCTGTACAGGGTTTCCAAGGACCAGCTGGTGAGTTGGAACTGCCGGCCTTAACGGCCCAAACCAACGTTGCAGTTTACCGCATTAACTGGAAGCACCACACCAAAAGTCCAATCAGCCCTCAACTCATGCTGAACTCATGCATATCAGATTTTTTCATTGGCTGAATTTTCAGTAGATTTCCAGGCCTTTCTTCCTAATCTGTCTTAGTCTGAAAGCCCTCCTCAAGTCTGTTCATCATCATAGCAGATGCAAGCCTCCACTGACAGATGGATGCTAGCTGTGTTTGAGAAGCTTTGGCCAGGTATCAAACACAGTTCTCCACATAAAAGGCAAGAATTCTACCACTGAACTGATTACCTCTGCCCTTTGTGAAACACAGAGACACATAGCACAGCTACATTCTGGTATATTATGGACAAACTTCCATGAATTAAATTATTTACCCTAAATAATTTGAGCATGGTGGAAGATGTGGATCATTGGTTCTGACTCACAGCAACCCTGTATAGGGTTTCCAAGGCTGTAACTCTATATGGGAGCAGAAAGCCTCATTATTCTCCTATGGAATGACTGGTAGATTCAAGCTACAGACCTTGCAGTTAGCAGCCCAACTCATAATCCACTACACTACCAGGGCGCCTTTCTACCTCATAGCAACCCTGTATAGGGTTTCCAAGGCTATCAGTCTTTGTAGGAGTAGAAAGTCTCATCTTTCTCCCATGGAATATCTGGTAGGCTTGAATATCCAACCTTGTGGTTAGCAATCCATTGCTTATCCTACAGAGTCACTGTACTCCCAGGGAAGATGTGGATAGTAGTAAAATAACATTGTTGTTGTTATGTGCCGTGGAGTCGGTTCCGACTCATAGCGACCCTACACAGGGTTTCCGAGGCTGTAAATCTTTACGGGAGCGACCGCCTCATCTTTCTCCCGCGGAACCGCTGGTAGTTTCGAACTGCTGACCTTGCGGCTCACAGCCCAATTTGTAACCACTACGCTACCAGAGCTCCTTAGTAAAATAACATATGTATGGTCATATATTGATAACTGGAGTCCAGGTGCGGCACTGTAGGATAAGCACTGGACAGCTAACCAAAAGGTCAGCAGTTCAGACTCACCAGCTGCTCCTCCTCAAAAACCCTATACAGTGTCACTGTGAGTTGGAACCGACTCAACGGCACTTTACAACAATAATATTGATATGATAACTGGTGAAGATGAATGATGGGTAAATGAGAATCATTATAAAATTCTGTTTGCTTTTGTGTCAATTTACGGTATCGACAATGAGAAGTTGTTGTTTTTTTAATGTCATTATTTGTTCTGTTTTCACAGATAAATGAAACATTTCACAAATCCAAACTCCAAAGACAATATGTCACATCTCACATTGTCCAAGTAAGGTATGTAAAATAGCCTGAAGCACAGAGGTGAAAATGAGTTCTTCAACTCCCCATCTCATATTCAATAGATATGTTTTGTTTGGTATACAGTTGAAGTGTTGAAACAAATTTGAATTGTTAACTTTAAAACCCCTAATCCTAGTGTGGTTTGAACCACAAGAACAACAGCTGAAACCCAGCAGCCATTCCTTGGAAACCCTCTACAGAACTTCTATGAGTTGGAACTACCTCGATGGTACTTAACAACAGCATTTCCAGTATGTGTAGAGGAAAGCATTCAAGGTCTTTAGGAAAAAAATATCAAGTAAGAACCAAGAGTACAAGCTGATCAGATGGAGGTTAATGAGTATGTTTTTTGTTTGTTTTTTAATTTCAGGGCAGAAAGTCAAAAAACAACTCTAAAATCATGAGATCAGATCAAAATAAGAAAAAGATGGGTAAGATAAGAGACCCATTTACAAACTGTCTGACCCAGGAGTAGCTTACATAGATATTTGAAAATTAAGGTAAAAGTGTTGTTGTTGTTGCTAAGTGCTAAGTGTATATAAGAAAAATACAGGAGTCAGTCCAGAGTGACACTATTTACAAGGATAAAAATAAGATTTAACTCATAACTAGTTTCTTTTCTATGTAAGCATAAGAGGAAAGAGTAGAACCAAACACAAATAACTTTGGAATCTAGGGGTGCCTAACACTAAAATTTGTACTATTATATTTTCTTGGTTCATTTAAAAATAATTTATGCTTTTAACCAATACCCCAGAGTATTTTATTTATATTAACTCATTTAAATCTCGTAATGACTCCATGCTGTAAGAGTGAGGTTAACTTTGCCCAAATAATTCATTCTTGGCCCTTGGTTCCTGAAAGATAACTTCTAATCTGTGGGAATTTCCTGCATAATTGAGTTTCTCAGTTCAGGACACCAGACTTACAGGTTATGCTAATAAGGTGAAAGTTGACCAGACCAGAAAAACCTATCTTGTGAAATCATCTGACCTGGGAGTGGGAGAAGCTGGGGTTGGGAAAGCAAGAAGGAGTACATTTTTCAGTCAATCATGCCTACTTACTGACCTGTCAATAAAGGCTTTGGACATGAAAGTTTCTTGTACTTATTTGTTGATGAAGGACAAAATAGCACTTAGATTATTGTCCTATTTTACAGTTGAGAAAACGGAAGCAAAGATAGATTGTGACTTGTCAAGGTCACGTATCTAGTAAATAATAAAGCTGTAATTTGAACTCAAGTAATCATGAGTTCACCCTGAGTATGTACCACGGTTTCTAGAGATTGTCACTATATAACAGCATCTTGGAAAGCACACTGAGATAATGGCTAAGAGCATGTATTTTTTTTAAATAAACCAAGAAAATAAACCTGCATAAGCATTAGTTTCAGGCAGTTTGTTATGTTTCCTATATTATTAAGTGTTGTTGAGTCAGTGCTGACCCATAGTGAAACTGTATAGGGTTTCCAAGTAGTGGCTGGTGTGTTTGAACCACCGACCTTGTGGTTAGCAGTCCAGTGCTGATCCTACAGTGCTACACCAACATGCAATATATTTTTGCATGAATCTGTACATACTGTTAAAGAAATTTCTGGTTATATAACTTTTTGTTGCTTAAGCTTCAGTTTTTCTCATCTAAAAAAGGAAATAAAACCAACTCATTGAGTTCTTATGAGGATTACACAAAGTAGTGAACACACATGAATATTAGACATTTTAATAATTTTTATTATCAAAGTTCTATGATATTCTGCTAAAATAATTATTAAATATCTGGAATGTGGCATACTTTCAATCAAAGCCGTCCCTCTCATGGCACTTTCTTCTCTGCTGGATTTGATAGTTCTTTGCTATGGCACAGCGATCTCACAGACAACATGATTATGGGGTTTATTAGGGAAGTTAACAGGATACAACTCAGGATCAATAACACTAAGGATACAGTTCTTTGGTCATGACAGCCTCTTCTCAGCAATAGCCATTGCCAGGCTTCTCTCTGATCCTTGGCCGATCAGTCATGTGGCCTCTTGGCTGTGGCCTGCTTAGAGAACATTACAAATCTCTTTTAACTCTGCCTATAAATGCTACCACTTGTCTGTCATGCATTGTACTGTTGTGGTTTGCATGTTGCTGTGATTCTGGGAGCTATGCCACAAGTATTCTAAATAATAGCAGGGTCATACATGGTGGACAGGCTTCAGCTGAGCTTTCAAACTAAGGAAGACTAGAAAGAAAGAGATGCAAACTACTACTGAATATTTAGTCACTGAAAACCTTATGAATAACAGTGGAACACTGTCAGATAGCATCCGAATATTGAATATTGAAACATGAAGAGCACTAAAATAGTGTCAGATATAGTGCCAGAAGATGAGCCCCTCAGGTTAGAAGCCACTCAAAATATGACTGAGTAAGAGCTGACCATGATAATGCTAATGAAATAAAGCCTTCGGGACCTTCATTTGCTGATGGGGCACTACTCAAAATGAATACAGACAGGTGTAAAAATCCATAAATAAATGGAATATGGAATGTATGAAGTATGACTCTAGGAAAATAGGAAGTAGTAAAAAATTAATGGAATGCTTAAACATAAATATCCTAGGCATTTGTTGTTCTTATGTGCCGTGTAGTCGGTTCTGACTCATAGTGACCCAATACAGGGTTTCCAAGGCTGTAAGTCTGGTAGCGTAGTGGTTACGAATCGGGCTGCGAACCTTAAGTTCAGCGGTTCGAAACTACCAGCTGCTCCGCGGGAGAAAGATGAGG